AATCTCCTAACAAACAAATCTGTCCAGCTCGCCGCATATGCGGCTGACATTAACCTCATGTCCCGCAGAGTGGATGATGCAGCAGAAACATATTCGCAGCTGAAAAAAACGGCCAAGGAGATTGGACTTGAAATAAATACACAGAAGACAAAAATACTAACACAGACGCGGACAAAGCGAACAAGAAATCAAATCAAAGTAGAGGATGACATTGAAACAGTGAAGAGTTTTACTTATCTGGGAGTCGAAATGAATACGGAGGGAACAGAAGAGGCCGAAATTCAGAAGAGAATAATGAAGGGAAATAAAGCCTATTTTTCCCTGATTAACCGATAGTATGCTATGGATGCGAGACATGGGTTTTGACAGAAAGCACTAAACGAAGATTAGAGGTTTTCGAGAGAAAAATCCTAAGGAAGATCTTTGGACCCATCACTCAAAATGGGATGTGGAGATCTAGATATAACCATGAACTCTACCAACTGTTCAAAGAAGCACCTATTGCAGAGTTCGCTAGAGTACAAAGGCTTCGATGGGCTGGTCATGTGGTGCGGATGGATGCCGACAGATTGCCGAGAAAGGCCTTGGATGGTAAAATGCAGGGCAGAAGACCAAAGGGAAGACCACGTAATAGATGGGAGAACGAAGTCACAGCAGATGCGCACAACTTATTGAACGTCAGGGCTTGGAGACGAGTGGCGCGGGATCGCCTTTGTTGGAGGCAGAAGTTACAGGAGGCCAAGGCTCAATTTGGGCTGTAGCGCCATTGGAAGAAGAAGAAGAAGGTTAACCGGTTATTAATAATTCTCATAAATAGTTTGTATACTTGACTGAGCAACGATATAGGTCTATAATTCTGTAGATCACATTTGTCCCCTTTTTGTAAAAGAGTATTACTAGACACTCGTTCCAGTCTTTAGGGATCTGGCTATTATGGAGACATCTATTAAATAGCTTTGTTAGTACAGGGATTGTTAATGTCTTGCTTGTTTTCAAGAGCTCGACAATTATACCGTCGTGTCCTGGAGCTTTATTATTTTTTAGTTCTTTTAAAGCTATTTCTATTTCGTATCCCTTTATATTTGGTAGTACTTCTGATCCCACGTTTTTTATTTTTCTTTTGACGTTCTCCTTTTTTGTTTCATTAGGCTGGCCTTGCGAGCTGTACAAGGATGTGTAGAAATCTTCGACTTCGAAATTAAGCTGTGTTGTTTTAATTTTGTCATCAAAAATTAATTCTTTATATTTACGAATATAAAATGTGGTTTATAAATACAATATAAGCAGTCTCCAAAAAATACAAAATGAGAGACATGATATATAAAAAACAATGAATCAATACAGCAGGCAAGATCAGAATCTATAAAACATTCGTAATACTTTTATTCATCTACGCCGCAAAATGAGGAGTCGAACTATTAATGACAAAAAGCAAAATAAAAACTACTGAAATAAAAATTATCAAGGAACTAGTTCTTTTCGATAAAATAAAAAGCTGTGATACTATTAACGAAGGACTGGGAGTACAGAATGTAATGAGGTGGCTTAAAACGCAAGTGACTTTAGAGAGAAAATGACTGAATCCATGGCGGTCTTAGTCTGAGCTCTCTTGTATTCCTTGAAGGAAAGGCTGTGGAGGACAGTTTTATTACTGATATGGCGCATCCTAATGACTTATCATTATCATCCCGCTTTTATTTGCTTGTGGTCTCCACACTGTAATTTTTAAATAAATTGACGTGTTTCTCTTGAAGATGTCTAGTAGAGCTTCATATGCGGCCCATGCTAAAGTGAATCTTTTTTGCAGTTAAGCAGTTTGGTTGTCCCTAGCAATTTGGTTTTCATTACCTTAGTATTTATATTTACGAACTAATCCTATTTTGTTGCTGTCGACTTTTGGATTTTCGCCTGGAACCAAATTTGTCATGTATTGTGTCTTTCCAAAATTTATGCTTAAAACCAACTACAATATAGCCATGCATAGTTGTAATCTATTTTAAGTTATTGTTCTGAATCTATTTTCTTGTGGCATTTTAAACTAATTACTATTTAAATAGGAATAAGCGACAGTTAAAGGTTAAAGTAAGTTTATTGACGTTTTAATTTCCACTTCGAAAATCGTTCTCAAAATACAAACAGTAAATTAAACAAATTTTGCTTTTTTGTTACTTGGTGAAAAATTCTTCTAATAATTTAATTTTATCTGACTCATTTATATTGACAATTCAGACATACATCATACATTTTAAAGTAGACGACATTAAAATGATATTGGCAGTATTGTTGAGTTGCGTTCCTGAGACGTCTTTACTTATAAGATAGTTCATTCGATTACATGAAATCAACTTTAACTTGAGAATATCCGTCACAAAAAAGTATAACATGTAATTCATCTTTAAAAAGATGAACATATGCCATTATGCCAATAAAACTCTCCTGTTAGTGATTAAATAGTAAATTATGAGGGATGAACCAGGAAAAAAACCTCATAATACTATCCCGATATGTTAAGTATTTGATGGTTAGAGATCTATCAAATTTTCTATCTTTAATACAAGATTGATGTTCACTTATTCTAACATTTAATGGCCATGATGTTTCACCTAAATAAAACTGATCGCATTCACAAGGTGCTTTATAAATACCTTTGTCCTTTCTTGTTCATTGTTACGTTTAGGTTTAGACAAAATGGATCTCAATGTGTTTATTGTTTTGAATGTTGTTGAAATGTTGAATTTATTTCCTATTCTTTTAAGTTTTACTGATAATCCATTTATGTATGGTATTGTTATTTTCCTCGTATGATATTGTTATATTCCTTGTGTATGCTGTAGGATCTCGTTCTAAATTGTTCTGTTCTATTCGGTCGATTGTTGAAAATTCCTTATTTATTAATGATAAAGAATAATATTTTTTTTTAGTAAAGCAGATGTTAACAAATGTTTTCCTCCAAGAAAGAATTTTCGTTAGAACAAGCAATTTTGGCTCTATCGTATAAGGATTTAATGATTCCCGTTTTAATATTAATATTTTGATTTGTTTTGAAATTTAAATATCTGTTGGTGTGTGTTAGTTTTCTATACACCTCATAGTCTCCATATCCAGTATCGTTCTTAGATATTAAAACGTCCAGGAAAGGTAGTGTGTTATTGTATTCCTTTTCCATGGTAAATATTATTGTCTCTTCTTTATCGTTTATATCATTCGAGAATGTGTCCAACAACTATGATCCATGAGGGCATATAGAGAATACATCATCTACTTATCTTCACCAAACTGTGGGTTTTAAATTTTGTTTAGGAAGAATATGTGTTTCAAAATCTTTCATAAATATATCGACTAATAATGGAGATAAACTAGAGCCCATTGCTAGACCAAAATTTACAGCTACTATTAATACTAAACACCTATTGTAGCTGATATGTTTACTCTTGTTCTAGTTGCCAATATATCATCACTCTCTAATTTTGTGTTGACTATATTTTCAGTCTTACCTAATGGCACATTCGTAAATAAACAATTTATGTCAAAACTTACCAAAGTATTTTTTGAAATTAATTTAATATTTGATAATTTATTTAAAAAATGTTGCGTATTTTTTATAAATAAGTCATTTTTATTTGCAAATGGTTGTATAATATTTAATAAATATTTTGATAGTTCACTACAAGGACAATTCATGGTACTACAAATGGGTCTAAGTGGTATATTCGTTTTATGAACTTTCGGTATTCCATAAAAATGAGATGTCTTACTGTAATGAGGTGTAAATAATCTTCTCTGATAACTTGTTAAACATTCTTTAACCTTGAATCGAGTTCTATATATTCTGTTTTCAAAAGGCTTTGTTGGATCCTTTGTTAATTTTGTATAAGGTCCGTTTATTATTAGATCTTTACTTTTGTTTTCAAATTGAATTTAATCCATTATCATAGTTGCATTAACCTTGTCTGCTGGTAGGATGATTATGGAGTCGTCTTTTTTAAAGTTCTTATCTTATAGCCGTTAGTTATACTTTGCTTATGTTTTGTTCAATTTTAATAGACTTTTCCAATTCAAGTGTACATAATACTCTGTATTCTTCCTTTTCGTGGGTTGGTAAACATTGAGTTATTTTTCCACTGGGCTTATTATGTCTAATTTTCGAATGGATGGATGAGTAACATCAAAGTTTAGACCCTTTGACAGTATTAAACTTTCCGTTGCATTTAAATGTCTAATTGATAGATAGTTGTCGATTGTTTATTTGGTTTTTATTGAAAGTAAACTAAATGCACGACCAAATACTTACTATGCCGGGATATAATACTATCCTGCTGGTTCCTGAGGTTTTTTCCTGCTTTTTCCCTCATAATTTACTATGGAATATCTAACAAGAGAGTTTTACTGTAATCATGACATGTGTTTGCCTTTTTAAAGACGAATTACATGCTATGATTTTTCTGACCGATAAAGTTGATTTTATGTAATCGAATGAACTATCTTACAAGTAAAGCCGTCCCAGGAACGGAACTCAATAATATTGGCAACATCGTTTTAATGTTGTCTACTTTAAAATGTATAATGTATGTCTGAATTGTCAATATAACTGAGTTAGATAAAATTAAATTATTAGAATAATTTTTCACCAAGTAACAAAAAAACATAATTTCTTTAATATTTTATAATGTATTTTGAGAACGATTTCCGAAGTGGAAATTGAAACGTCAATAAACTTATTTAACCTTTAATTGTGGCTTATTCCCATTTAAATGGTATTTATTTTAAGTTATGTGCTTTTGCTTCCCACTTTTTTGAAAACATGTTTTGAGAATGAAATCCAGGACGAAATTTCGGAAATGCGAAAGCAAGGATCAACGTATTTTATGGATAGAAACCAGGTTGTATGTGATATATTATTCTATAATCCATTTTATGCAGTGAAAATCGTCGTTGGTCCGGTAGAGGTGGTTTAGCAGGCTTATGGGTCGTTTATTCTCAAGGTCTTTTTGTGTAATAAAATGGTAAGTACACTGTGCCGTCGTGTAGGTTTAACTTTGGAGCAGACTTAAGTTGAGCAATTTCTTTATATCCTCTTAAGGTCTGTCTCCTCCTATTCCCCTTGCGACTTCTAAAACGATATTATCTTCTTTTCTTGGGGTGTTATGTCTTTTATTTTTTTTTTACTTAGTGCATTTTTTAATTCGTCTGTATAATTGATATATCAGGCGTCAATTCCGATCCTTGGTTGACTAATCTTTTTTCTGTATTTTCTAATTTTTCTGTTAGTTCCTCATAATGGTTTTTTGACTTTTATATAATTCTGTATAGAAATCTTATGCTACATTTGTTTTGTCAATGGCTAATAGCAAGTCCTATAATTATAATGACTAAAGAAGAGGTGTGAATAAGATATAACTAAAATGAAATCTAACATGCGACATAGCAAATGAAAGAGGATGAAATAACGAATATATTAAGTAAGAAAAAACAAACAAGGCGACTACCAAAGGGTACCACACGGTATCTTAATTAATAATGAACGTATAGCGACATATGATATATCAAAGGGTACTATAAATACAAATAGATTTACTGTACGACAAATTTTGATTTCGTGACTTAAAGAAGGCATCTGGCTGTATACAAAATAAACAACTGACCGAATTCTAACATGCGACAAAATAAATAAAAGGGGAGGATATAACAAACATACTTAAATAGCAAAAACTAACAGACTACCAAAAGGACACTACACATCGTCTTCGTTATCTAATAAACGTATAGCGACATACGACATATTACATGATACTATGGATGATAATAGTCATATTTGCTTTACATATAAAGCATAACGTAAATATAAAGTAAATTTGCTTTGTTGACCTGAAAAAGGCCTCTGACTGATTACAAAATAAACAATTAGCCTAATACTAGCATATGAAACGTCAAATCAAACGATGTAAGACTTGTAGTACATATAAGGTATATAGCGTACAATTAATATATATACCGGGTATAGTAAAAAAACATGATGTCAGGTCAGAAGTGTACTGATCATACTTTATAATTACTTCGATTCGCAATTGATTGGATCATTCGTAAAGATATAAGAAGCGATTTATACATACATTCTGACTGTCCATACCATGAAGAAGAGACCCCCGAGATAACGTTACCGGCTGATAGGACAGAATGCCTGCCGTAGCTTAAGACGATCCACCGTTTACCATAGGTTCAATGAAAATAGACAGACTATTTATGTCTATACAAAAAAGAAGAAGAATAAATTAAATTATGTGTTTGGAGTGTTTGGAGTTATGTGTTTGTTATGTGTTTGGAGTTCTTAAACATGATGTATGCTTATGATAAAGAATTTGTCATTTATCGTCAATTAATAAAAAGTTTCAATATTATTTACAAAAAGGCATATTTTTAATTTTTTTCTCCTGAGGCTACATCATTTCTTAGTTCTGCATTAGTTACTAAAATAATAAAGCAAGTAATTGCATAATTAAAGTTTAACTTCGAGCAACACTGAGCAAAACTGTGTATGTTTTTACATATTTGTGCTCTTTTTCAAGTATTTTGTACTCTTTTTACTCCTTTTAATTAACTTAAACCTTGCCCCATTTATAATTAAGCAGCTAAGAGCTAAGAATAACTCGTTTACTCCTTAAGAAAATGCTTTATTAAAGTGAATGCTACATTTTTTGAGTAATAATAATAACAATATTTTCTTGTTGATTACAGGCTGAGTCTGAAGGAAATGGCATTCCTTCTCTTACCCTTCCCAGCATCAGCGAGGACGATGAAAATGCCCACGAAGAGGGAGAAACTTCACCCTTGTCACCCAATAGATCACCTGTACACGCTCTGTCGAATAGCCCTAGACATGCTAAATTCAATTTGAGGTTAGGAAAGTTTTATTAAACTATATATTAAGTGTCAGATCTGGACAAATGATATGTTTTCCCTTATTAAGTCTTAAAATATACGAGGGGAACTTTTACAATGTGACGAAATTTTTTTTTGTTTATTTATGTCTTAATATCTAAGGGTCACAGTAGGTTACAGTAGAAGTGTAAATGTAATTTTTTATACATCAGTCCGATCATTTACAAGGTGAAACAAATATTTGTGAATAAGGACAGTGTGACGGATCCTCGCCTTAGGTTATTTGAAGGGATCAAATTGGTGGATTGATTTCCATGTTAAAACTTAATATTTTGCTACTTGAAACTTCGATATTAAATAGTGAGATATAAATACAGTGCTCTGAGACTAAAAACCACTGTAAGTAGTTTTTTTCATTTTTTTTAATGGATTTATGTATCTCGACAGTGTAAGTGACTAACACAGGTGCAATTACATTACATTACATTACATTACATTTTAATAGCATACAGTTTCGTTACAATTGATAAAGATACACTATGTTAAATATGGGTACACTTAATATATTTCATATTCTAAACTACATATTATATCTCTTTTTTATCTGCCTCTTTCTCTTATGACTCTACAGCCCAGCATTCGTCTCCAAGCATCCATTTCCTTGGCTGCTATTCTCCAGTTATTCACCATTATTATATCTTTAGCACCGGTTTGCACTTCGTCAATCCACCTCTTCCTTGGTCTTACTGATCGACGTCCGATCATAGTTTTACTAAGCGCTCTACTAGGTGTAGCAGATAGGAATATTTGGATTCTATTGCATAGTCCTATCAGGAAAAGTGAATTAATCCCTGTCCTCCGCAGATTCCAGGAGCTTCTTGACCCGGGAAGCTAGCAACTGCTAAGTCCCTTGTTCAAAGTCATGAATGAAGTCCAGAACGGCATCCAAGGCGACGAACAAATACTTTCGGTATGGCGAAGATGGCGGAGTTGGCAACCCTGATTTAAGAGGTAGTATAAGATCACAACCCGCGGCGTCTGATCCAGAGTGGACGCCCGTAACAGCGTCAAACCCAAAATGGGCGGCTGAAACAAACACTCACCAAAACGTCTAGCCAGCGTGGTGTTTTAAGGCTTAATACCCCTCACAAAAAGTCAGCTGAAAACAAGCAAATACCCCATCTCGTAGGAAATTATTTCCAGAATCTTGCACTGATAAATTATCAGTCTGTATCATGGATTCTGGGGGGATAAAGAATTGACAGAGATAGGAAAAAGTTACCCAAATACGACAACACTTTATATAGGAACGTGCTATGATGCACGTTCCCTACTATCTAATAAAAGACTTACTGAACTTGAGTGCGAACTAAAAAACATAAAGTGTGACATAGTCGGTCTCAACGAAGTCAGAAGACGTGGCAAACACCTAATTAAACTAAAATCAGGACATAGTTTTTACCACGTAGGTGACTACAATAATTCCTTGAGAGGAACCGGCTTCATTATACAAAAGCGTCTCCAAACAAATATAGTATCACTAAAGAAATTTTCCACAAGAGTGATTTGTCTTACTCTCAAATTGAATACAAGGTATAATATGAAAATAATACATGTTTATGCACCAACAACAAACCATGATGAACAAATGGATCAATTCTATGATGATATCGAAGCTGCTCTTAAAGACCATCAAAGATATTAATTTTACCTTTTTATGTGGTGACTTTAACACCAAAACAGGAATGAAATCCAACCCTACAGTAACACCACTAGGAAACTTTGGCTTAGATGGTAGAAATGAACATGGCAAAATACTGTTAAGGTTTATGCTGCAACAAGAACTATTCCAAATTAATAATTTTTTCAAAAAGAAATCACAGATAAAATGGACATGGCAAAGTCCGAATGAAAAACTCAAAACGAAATAGATTTTATTATCACGGACAAAAAAACACACCGTTAAAGGCATCACGATTCTAAACAGATTTGTTACCAATAGCGGTCATAAAATGGTATGAAGTAAAATAGAAATAAGCTTAAAGAAGGAGAGTTATAAGATAATTAAAAATAAGAACAAATCAAAACCATGGATGAAACCATCAGATGTAGATAGTTTTCACCAATTTTATTATACATACTTAGTAGTCCTGAAACAGAAAATCATATAAATTACTTAAATAATAAATTAACAAATACTTGAAGAGAAGAAGAGAAGATTAGCCAAAATACTAGGCAATTAATGCAGAAAAGAAGAAAAACTACTCCTACTTTTAATTGTAAATTGTTAGGTGGTAGTCTAGGCAATTAACTGCGTCATTCTGATTCATGACTGTGTCAACTGATTTGAATAAAAACATCTTTTCTGGAAGAAAATTTCAGAATAATACAGCAGTAATAGTTCTATTTACAGTATATACATACAAACGAATACATAATGTACAAAAATTAGATGAATTGAAAAAATATATAGAAAAATATATACAAGTTAATATTTACAAAAAAAAATACCCAAAATATCCAAAATATATTTATGAATTCCTAAATACCTAATTCTGTTTCGCTGTCGCTATCCTCTACAAGATTAATAACAATTGATTTAATTATGTGATTGAAAGTAACATATGAATTTTCTACGTTCATTACATGGCATACTGAATATTTCCAACTTTCTTCGGAGATATCATCAACACATTTCCTTAATAATTCGACTACACTACCACTTAAAGTGGGAGAAACATTTTGTGACCTAACATTTGACTTTAGTTGGTGCCACATATGCTCTATGGGATTAAATACAATAGTAGGGTGGAAGCCGTAAAACTGTATGTTCCAAGTCCTCGGCCATGCGTCACAAACATATACTTTGAATTTTAAATGATAAAATATTTATCATTTTCTAACAGGTAGTTTTGAATTTCAATTTTCGTGTTATTTGCACTTGGAGACTTATGTAATTGACGACTGTGGTAACTTGCATTGTCCATTACTATCACACTATTTTGTGGAAGGTTAGGTATAAGACAATTCTTAAACCATTGCTCAAAAAGCTCTGCCGTTGTATCCTCATGGTAGTCCATGCAGGATTTTTTAATGTTCTTTGCAGAAAGCTATAAGGCATTTGGGATCCAACCATTTTCTGATCCTGCATGTAAAATTGTTATTCTTTTCTCTTTGTTTGATGGAGCTTCTGTTTGACACCTGTTGGAAGAATCGGACCATCCTTTGGATTTTGTTTCATGAGTGTCAAACCATGTCTCGTCCAGATAAATTATTGGTCGATCTTTTGTACGGTACTTTCTTATAGAAGTTATATATTCAGTACGCCACTTTTGTAAACGATGGGACTCCATAAGCACTTGCCTTTTGTCAATTGTACGATATCTGAAGCCCATTTTAGACAAAATCCTCCAAAGACTAATGCGGCTACAGTTTATTTTTGTATCATCATTAATAAGCCGTTGTTTTAAAGTATCTAATTTAGGTATCGGTTGCTCTTCGTACATTGTGTAAATTTTTTATTGGGTTTAATGGGTTTTGATGTAATTCTTTTCACTGTGGTTAGAGGTATTTTCGTTAAATCAGATATTTCACTGGCAGCAGTATTAGCAGTAAGTACTCGTGTAAGTAAAGAACTATATATTGTTTTTACGATTTCTATAGCGTCAACAGATAAGTGCTTTTTCTTTGCTGAAACACTGGAAGAAGCATATTAATGTTTTTCCACGGACGCCACATAATGCTGTTTTATAGGTATAAATAGGTATAACACTGGTAACACTTGTAACACTTTCAACTAAATGAAACAAAATGTATATTTAAACATTTCTCATCGGTTTTATATACTTTTACAAATTATACAGAATAGAGGGAACCTGTATAGTTATTTCAGGAAATACTTAACGATCAACAAATTTATTGTGGACATTAAAAGATCAACCATTGATAGTGAAACTCACTGTCAAAATGTTTACAACTTTATGAAATAAAATGTATTCTAATCGTTTTTATAATTTTATACGATTTTTTAAGAGTTTTTATATTACCAGGAATTTATGATACAAACAAGATAACGACACTCCACAGTAGCTTCAATTTTATCTGAATACTTACCTGCTCATCTGATGTTGACTAAGCTAGGGTACTTGCGGTCGGGTTTTATTGCAATCATTAAGCACTCAACCATTTTTCGTGAAATAAACTATATATACAGTGTGGTTTGGCCGTTGCCCAAATCTATCAGTATCTTGTTTTGTTAATCCTAGTTTCCCTTGTTAGTCATAATATAGTGCCATCCATTAGTTATATAGCGATTTAAAATGACAGAAAATCTGTTTTTAAAGGTTTTCCGTAAAAATTTTTAAAAATCTTTTACGCAAACCGTCTGCTAATATTAACAAAGACAAAAAAAAATTAATTATCTAATTTGGTGTAATCGTTCTGAAGTGATGCCCGTACAAACATTTCGGCGATTCATATTTATTAATATAGATTTCATACATATATTAAATAGCGCCAGTGTCTTGTCTTACAAAAATCTATTCTAATTTAGTAATTAAATACTTTACTATTACTTTAATTATATGATGGTATTTCGTTGTTTCAAAAATTTTATTAATAAATTATGTATTTTCAGTTATTGACGTAAGCTTAGTAAACATACGATATATTGGAAAATGCACAAAGTCTCTCTCTACGTCATAATTTAAGTGATCTACACTGTTATTGCATTAAATTAAAATATAGTTCAGATATCTGATAAAAACTAATTTAATTAATATCTCTGGATATGCTAAACATTTTCTGCTTCATTTTTCACATTAATAATATTAAAAATATTTTGGTAGATCTTAAAGATATAGTTAGGTGAGGAAGACAGATATGGACCTAAAGACATATTATAATTTTTCTGAATGGTATCCCACTTCGTTTCTATCAGCTCTCTGTATTCTGTATTTTAATACGAAAGTGTAGTCCAATCGATCAATTATTGTAATAGTAATATTCCAATAATAGT